TTCTACTGTCAGTTTTTAGCTGTAGCCATGCACTGTCCTAATTTGGTCAAGATTTCAATGTTATCTTAAAATCTGGCAGTATTGAGCAAACGTGGCTATCACTTGGTTCACAGTTTTCAACACCTCTCTCTTGATATACATATCTGTCTTGGAAGCTTTGTGTAGATCAGTCATTGTTTTTTTAATAGATTGTATGCAACAACCTGATAAAATCTGATCCAGAAACGATGAAACATTCTTCTTAAACTGAGGGACAGTAAAATAAAGTTTCATCCGCTTCTGGATCAGATTTTATTCCTAGTGGGGAACTTATATTTAAAGACAAAGACTTTATTATTCTCCCAGTGGTTTTATTCCAAGGATATAGCTGTCTGCACCTACTGCTGCTGTATTGAAAGTGGCCAAAATAGCTCAAAAATATTTAATTAAGGAGAGGTTTCAAAAAGCAGATTGGGATTTCTGAATTTCTTTAGAGTTTATGTTGTCTCTACAGAACAGACTTGCATGAAAACGTGAGTTCTCAGGTCTCGGTTTCCTCGATGCAACTCCACTCACATAGGTTTACTCCTAACTTACACCAACATAAGTGGTTATCTCTTTGCTAGTAAATTACTCAGGGCCAGTACATAGGTTTAGTACTGTGATGCTATGTCTGTGCTGTTCAATTCTTAGTTCTCCCTTTGATACAAATCTGGGTCATGCTAGCTAGGACTATTCCAGAAGCTGCAGGACCTAAATGCAATGAAAAATTCTCTCCTCGCTTTAAGGGTAGTATGAACAAATATTTAGGTATTATTCATGCTATTGCATAGCTATCTTTTATTTTTCTTTGCTAATGCAAATATCATGTTTTGTAACTATTCCTAATAAAGATGTTGCCAGGAGTGTGCTTATTAGACTTCAAGATTAATTTGTGTTATTATTAGAGCAAGCTATTTTGATCAAGATTGTATGTCCATTATATTCAGTATTTTATACTGATGCCCATTCTAATAGCACTGTTAGATTTGTTGTTAGTGTTAATCTCCCTTTTAAAAACTGAAGACATTTAGGAGGGGATTCTTCATGAGGGGAGAGTACCAAAATACTTTGGGTAACTACGGAATATGGGGATCTAAAAGGTATTCCACTTAAGGCTGACTTTACTACACTGGCATCCCTCCTGTTGACTTCCTTGACATCACAATCTTGCCCAGGAATTCTCTCGTTGTGAATGTCTTACTGGAAACCAATCTGGAGCTGTGGTCTAAGGCCACTGCCAAATCTGTTAATATGGGTTCTCTATAACTATGTGCTACAGAGTTACAAGGCTGAGCTGCCAGTGTGACCTTTGGTACCAAGAGACTACAAGCAGCGTGATCTAATAAGCTAAGCAGACACTCAACACACAGAGGTTGCATATCCTGATTGTGCTTTTGATCTCTGAGAAATCAATGAAATCCTAGATTTGTCAAATTCCATGGCAAAACAACCATTCATTCTGAATTTTGTCTGTAGCCTTTCTGCATTTGGTGTCTTGACATTGCATTCGTAGATTCCTTGCGTTTGTGCCTGGAAAGTATACTTTGTGGCAGACTACTGAGAAACTATTTTGATTTGGAATGCCAGCTGAATTTTTAAAACAAGCCAATAGAATGTGGATTAGTATATCACAAAGGGTATTTACTCAAGATTTTTAAAGGAAGCCAAACATAAAATTGCTGAGTAACTCTGGGCTGCTGCTTAAGTTGGCCTTTTTGCCAGACAAATGGGGGATTACAAATAAGATACGATTTTTGAAAAGGTTACCAGGGAGACGCAGGGAATGGAGTACTCCAAGGATCTCTTATTCAACCTGTGCGCTCTCCCATTTTCACCAATGGTCTGGAAAAAGGGGTGAGGAGAAATAGGTGATCATGCAAATATCATGTTTTGTAGATTAAGATACTTCAGCTTGGGAAGAGAGAAGTGGAGAAGTCATTTAAGTACAGAAAATTATGAGCTGTGTAATTGGTTGAGTAGGAAAACTGAACAGACAGCGATAGTCAAAGTAAATTGTCAAATTGACATTATCAGGTAATTTTATAACAAAAAAATAAAATACTTTTTAAAAGATTAAATCAAATATAAAAATGCACAATTCATTTCTACATTATTTGTGGATTCAGAAATTATCATCAAATTCATATTTTTTCCCTGATGACTATTAAATGTGATAACACAATCTCAGGCTCATGAAATCTCAAAGTCACCAACTGCTTTAAGTTGGGAGAATATACTGAGGAAAGAGTCATTCTTTACTTTTTATTTTAGAATCTTTGCCTACTCATCTGCTACTTAGGATTGCTACAGTTGAGGTATGGAGCTAGAAAATGTACTTTCTACTACAGGTGCTATTACAGATAATAATATACTTGTGAGTGTACAATTCGGCAGAGCACCCAGTGTGCAACTAGTGTAACTAGTGATCTCTGAATCATTTCAGGCATTCATAGATCTGCTGTGTTTGATTTTTTGGTGCCAGCAACAGCTTAATTACATCTGCCTTCACTGTCTAGGTACTCTAAGTGCACAGTCTCCAATTAGACCTTTCTTCTCAAATAAAAGTCTATAACATGTAAAAAGTCAACAGTAATGTAATGCGAAATGGCAATTAATCATTCATCGACTGATCATTTAAGTTGGCTGAAATTATTGAACTTCCTCATGATGCTCAAGTCACCCGTACCCCAGTGCTTGAAGTGCTGCACAAAAACATCCACATTACCGCTCTCCAGAAGCAGCAAATCCACTTGTTTTGGTTATTCCAATCCTAAGGCTTAGTACTTTACTACTACTGATGCTGTTTACTACTAGCTATTTGTGTTAAGGATAGGTGACAGTGGTGTAGGTGATAACAGTTATGTGTTTAAATACATATGTCATACTGATTGCATAAAACAGCAGCAGCTGAAATGACAGTTCCACAACAAAAAAGTTTTATTGTGGAAGAACTTTGCAATGCAAGAGTCTGATATGAGATTCCCTGTTCCTCTACCAATAAGATACACAACAACAAAGTGTTTCTTAATAAAATTGATAAACAGAATTATCATGCTAATTCTATCCTCCGGGCTCAGGTGTATTATCGCACCATCACAGCTTGACAGGCTACAATGTCAACTGAGTTGCCATAGGTGACCATAAGTATGCTCTTAGCCCACGGCAAGTGTAAGGTAATACAACTGAGCTTAATCCTTGATGAAATACTTTATCTTGTTGTTGTGTGCACACAGCTGTTGTGGCTCACGTGAAATATGACTTGACCGTGTATTTAATTCATCCTCATTATATGTTTTTCATGGTAAATAGGTTGCCCTAAAAGAGCAATTAGCTTTAGGTACAAGTGCATGTGTAGCATTGCTTCAAAGGTCTACCCTCATATGGTGAGAGTCAGCCTTGCATTCTCATTCTTTCTCCCTTGCAGGGCAATACATCTTTCCAAAGTCTAAATGTGTTTCTGTTCAGCCTTACCAGCATTTTTTTCCTTTTTGGCTTTCCTTCAAGATCTTTATATTCTACCTTGTGCCCAAAACCTTTTTTTTTTTTTTTTTTTTTCCTTCCCCTCCTTCTTCTCCCAAGAAAACTGTGAATCCAGGATTGGACAGCAAGTTACTACTGAAATAAAAATCATTTGAGCATAAAGGCATTTTAATGCAATATGAAGATCAATAATACTCTAGCTCTGACAAGTACTGTGAATTTGCAGTTGTTCTTAATATGATTATTCTATTTCAGCTTGCTGCATTACATAATTAGATAATCTACTTTTTTTTAGTTCATCCATCCCACAGGCAGCAATGTATTAATGGTATTTCTTCATATATTGGTAGTCTTGCTTTATAATATGCTCAAAAATGTATGTCTTGTGTCTTTTCTTTCTCTCTCTCTCTCTCTCTCTTTTTTTTTTTTTTTTTTTTTTTACAGAGGGCACTATTTTTTCTGGATTACATTTTGTTATTTTTTAATTGACAGGTTGGCTATCACTAGACAGTAACTGTAAATGCCATCATATTTTGTAGAAATAAGGGAATTACCTCTCTTCCAAAGAATAATCTGATAAGCCTACTGAACATAAGTTGGTTTGAAAAAGATTGCAACTAAAAAACTTAGCTGCTTTAATTTGAAAATGTATTTTTTAGAATATTTTCAAGATTTAATGTTTTATCCACACATGGTTGTAAATTTCTAGAAGTTGCTTGCAATAGGGTGGCTAATTCCAACAAGCAGGGTGTCCGTGTGTGTGTCTTTTTTTTTCCTCTTCTTTTTTTCCTCTTCTTTTTTTCCTCTTCTTTGTTTCCTCTTCTTTGTTTCCTCTTCTTTGTTTCCTCTTCTTTTTTCTCTTTCTCTTCTTTTTTTTTTTTAAGTACCCTTAGAAGTACCACTGAAAATATAATTAAAAGTATTTGTCAAATTAGAACAGAAATAGAAGGCTGAGATCAGAGCTGTTTTGGATACTTCCTCAGATCTGAAGAACATCGTGGTAAAAGTACCCTATTTTAGACAGGTTGTGTTGTATATAGGTTAGTTGTTGCAATGAGTTACACAAGACTTCTAGAAGCAGAGTCGGGCGCAGTGTAGGTGAGTTTTTAATGCTGCCCTTCCCTTTTTATAGCTCTGTCTTGCAAGAACAGAGTATTGTGGTTTCCATTTAATCACTTTGGAAATAATTGTCCAATTACACAACAATACATTGCCAATCCTTTCATAAGTTTCACATGTTTCAAAACAGACAAGGGAGTGGTGTTGAAGACACCTGCAACTGAGGACATTGGTGGAGAGGACAGAAAATAGAAGATAGTTGTAGCGGTCAGTAACAACTGCAGTGTTAAGGTCCTCCTCTTCAGGTATAGGTTGCATCAGCTGGTACAGTGTGAGGTCTAAACTTCTCTCCTAATTTGTAGCTTATTGGAGAAAAACATTTGATTTGATGAGATGAAATGTATTAATCACAAGTTTTTGTTCTGTATTTTCAGAAGAATGGCATATCAAATGGAACTCTCTACAAAAAAACATTTATTGAGCACTTTGAACAGGCACCAATGTATGTTGCTGTTCTTACTTTCCTGGGTTTTGGAGTGGGAACAGTATTTGGCTACCTGCGAGATTTTATGAGAGCCTGGGGACTAGAAAAACGTAACGTTGCTGCAGAGAGAGAACAACAAAAAGTATGTACGAAAAAGAAACTATGTATCTAAAGCTGAGGGGTTCCCCCCCCCCCCCCCGCTTGCAAGTTATGTACAATAACCTACAGAAGTAACAAGGCAGAAAACTTTCATTTTAGAGAACAACATTGCATAGAGATGAGAGGAATGACACGTGCTGCAGTACAGTTAAACACATGTGTATGAATATGTACCTATGTATATATGTAAAATCATCATTTTTACCCAGAGAGATGTTCACCTTGTTCTAAGTGTCAGAAGACTCTCAGCAAAATAGAATCTCAGTGTATTAGGTCAATCCATAGAAAAAGAAAACTCAGAAATGCCTTATTGTTAAATATATCATCTCTCCAAATCTCTTAAACCCCCATTTTTTTTCTGTGCAGTTTGAGCCATCCTTTACAGTAACACCTGACATAATGGAGGAAAAATGCAAATAGTGTTACTGTTCCTCTTACAAACAAAATTCCCACAATTGTTTCCTATTTTGGCTTTTCAAAGATGCATGCACTACTTAATGAAATATCATGGTCCGGTCTTCTTATCAGCATTCTTATGGAATATCCTTTTCAGTTCACTTCATGATTTGGCCATTTGTTGAGCTATTTTGATTCCAGACATGCCAGTTAAATCTTTTTGCTATCCACCATGGATTACGCATTCATTTAATTCTCCAGTCTCCCACATATGTAACTATATGCCATGTTATTTTATCAGTTTGTTGTATCCAGTGTCTAGTATGGCTATATTGCTGGTTCATAGAAAATTTTGTCTAGATTCCATACCTCTCTTTTAATTTAATTTCCAAGTAAAATCCATAGATAGAAATTAATTGTCAACCAAGATAGTTGTCTTAACTGGCTGTTTGCATGTCCAGTCTAGGCCAATGATGCCAGATCAATTACATTGGACTAGCTTTAATTTAAAGTAGCCAGCATTTCATGAAATACAATGAGTTGTTTATCCTAGTTTTGCAATCTGCTCCATGCACAGTAAAATCCTCAATTTGAAGCATTTCGCTTCTCCAAGTGAAAGAATCATGAGTTCTTTCGTTTCCAGCTTCTCAAATATTGGACTGGAAAATTAGGCCAACTTGTTGACCATTTAAAACAGAGCCAAAAAACCACCCCTAAAAAAGCCAACACTGCATTTCAAGGGAATTAAAGTAAGATATTTGCTGATTGGAGTTGTTTGTGACATAGGAACATGTGGCTGTTAAGCTCTCTGTCTACTAATGAATCAGTTTTTTCCTTTTTAATGGGAATGACTTGGGTACAGAAGCAGACGTTTCCCTAGCAACATAACCCTGTACATGTTTTCAAACCAGGATTTTGTGCCACTTTATCAAGATTTTGAGAACTTTTACACCAGAAACCTCTATATGAGAATACGGGATAACTGGAATCGTCCAATTTGCAGTGTCCCAGGGCCACAGTTTGACCTCATGGAACGCGTTACAGATGATTACAACTGGACATTTAGGTGAGTCAGCTTACACTCTGCAGCTGTCAGTTTCAGAGACTTCTGATACATCTGCAAAGCACAGAAAGTTGTATCTAGCCCCTCGTACCTAGATCCTCAACTAATATACATCAGCATTAATTTTTTTTCTGAAATCAGTACCGTGCTGACAGTCTGTCTCCCCTTTCTTCTGAATATTGCTTGGAAATGCAGTACAGAGGGGACTGAACTCTATCATAAATGGGTTTTGTCTGACTGTGTCAGCACAAGGAAGAGTGCTTACACTTCATGTATAACAGACCTTTAGTCAGAATATTACAATGAAATTTGTTGTATCCCTTGGTTAGGATTTAAATCATAATTTCTTGAATTGCATAAGTGTGACTTCTTACTTACATAGCGAGTCTTTCAGTGAGTTTTAAGCGGCTTACAGCTTGAAGATTTCGGTGTATCGAAACTGTTACTGAATTAAATAGGTATGGAAATTCACCGCATAGAAAATGTGTAGGTTGACTGTATTTCAGCTTATTGAGAACGTATCATAGTGTTTCCCACAACATTTTCCTCATGTTTAATTTCTGTGTGTGTGTGAATACTGATGACTTTGTGGAAGCTATTGCAATTTTCTTGAAAAAATAGTGTATATTGTTACTTAAATAAAGTTCTAGGCTTATTTGTTTATTTAAATCCATAAAAGCACCCTTTCACCTAATACCAGTATATTGCCATCTGCAGCTTGGAATCTGGAAAACATTCTGAGCAAAAAGCACTATTTAGCCATGAAAAGAGGAAGGCTGGAAAAAGTTTTGTCACATTAAAGTATGAGGATTATAAATTCCCAAATAGCAATTTGACAATGGAACAAAATTTGGTGGGAAAATCTTTGAGTTTTTTAATATTCTTTTTGTTTGGGATTGGAGGGAAGGTTGCACTATTCTTTAAAATTTGCTTTAATTATAGGTTTACAGGAAGGACTATCAAGAATGTAATCAATATGGGTTCTTATAACTACCTCGGCTTTGCAGAAACGGACGTTAATGCTTTGAAAACTGTGACCGTAGAGTTACAAAAGTATGGAACAGGGATTTGCAGTACCAGACAGGAAATGGGTGAGTAAACAGCTAGATGGCCACCAAAGATTCTGTAACTATATGCTTTTTCTTACAGATATGTTGAAGGAAATGGATATTTAGAGAATTTTAGTCACATCAACAAATACTTGTTTCACTATTAAAAGTGATTTTGTGTTTTATTCATTATCACATAAGGATTTTTTTTTAAAAGGAAAAACGTCATTGATTTTTGGAAAAGCAAAACCAAATGTGTCATACAGTGGCCTGGGATATTTAGTGATGCAACTAACAAGCTTATTTTTTAAAAGTAGTAAAATAATCATTGAGACTTCAAGAATTGTTCTAGGGCAAATTTAATTGCATCACAGATTTGTATCAGTTATCATATACAGAGTGTTCTGATTGATAAATGAGCTTTTACTTTTTTTTTTTTTAATCCCATGTTCTAAGAATATATTGTAATGTTTTATGAGACATTAACGGGCACAACATAGAAATTTCTAGTGTGCCTCTAAGGAATAAATTCAGGAAGGCTCCATCTGACTATTTTGGTTTATCTATCCTTTATGATTTGTAGGCTGCATGTAGTGTTAGCTTCAATTGTATATTTTTACACAAAGCCTTGCATTCCTGATGGTGCAATCAGCCTGCATTTCAGAGAGAACAATTTTGAGTCATAGAAATGCAAGGAGAGGTTTCTCTTCAGGCTTTATCTTTCTTGGGAGCTACCAAAAGAAAAAAAAGGCATGCTTCCTGGCAGAGAGAAGTCTTTTATAGACTTCTGGGTTTTTTCACCCCTAATCCAGCAACCAGAAAAACTTTCATTTTGTATGTCCCAAAGCAAACTCTCTGCCTCCAGAAATCTTATGGAAAAAATATTGTATTTAATTTGGGGTTTTTTTTAATTTAAAGTCTCATTTCCAGACAAAAAATAATGCAAACCTTATCATCTGCTTCTTATCATAGTTTGAGTCGCCGATAATAAATATGTCAGTGACATGATTCGGAGAGGGTTTGGAGATTGACGCTACTTTCCTTTTGTAGGTGACCCATCTGGTGACTGCAATATATTGTTTAACATGAATTGCATGCTTGAAAGTGGTCACCATTACATCTAACATACTGAAGGAACATTTCGCTGTGTGTTTCTCTCTTGGATTCTATTTTGCCTGAGAACATTTCAAGTTGTTTTCAGTACGTCAAAGAATATGCCTGGTGTTCCTCATTCTTTATCTTTTGCAGTATTTTTTATATGGAAGACTGACATAACTTTGACTTATTCTCACAAACAAACCTTATGAAAAGATTGATTCTGTCTTCAAGTACTAAAAAATCTTATTTCATCTTGTCTGTTTTCAGAGCCAATGTATACAGATTTCTAGGACTTCCTCTTCCTCTGAAGTCCTGCACAGTTCTCAAAGTTATCTTGACAGATTGAGCAGAGTTTTAGATTCATTCCTATTGCTTTCACAATAACCCCATGAACTTCATTCAGACTATTCACTACGCAAGAATGGGCTACAAATAAAGAACATTGTACAAGTCTTGTCAGTATCAGTCTTTTAGGGAGTGAATTTCAGAGAGCAGCTTGGACATCGAGGCTTATTAAAATAGGAAAGCAGGGTGTTAAGACCTGGCTTAGATGGTGTAGATGAACAGTCATAGCATTTTGTCCTAGGCAGCTAACAGAGAGCCTGTGCTTGTGCGGCCAGCAGAAAAAGAGGTTGCTCCACAGAGCAGTTCTGAGCAGTGGTTACTTCATTGACCCTGACTCTGTTGGAGCCTGTCTACTGCCAAGAAATGTATAAACAACCTAAGGAAAATAGCTTCTTATTAGTACTGTGGATACCCTCTTTTCTTTTTCCTTTACCTTCTTGTTCTGCTTCAGCTCTATTTTAGTTCAGTTGAACAGATTTGAAAAATTCTGAGTTAAATATGCGTATTTTCAAGAGAGAGGTAGGGAGGGGTGTGCATGGAAGGTTTTACCTTTTTTAATTATCATTTGCCATCTTCATCTTAGAAAAATAGAATGGTTTTGTTCCTGGGCAGATAACATTCCAAAACTCCTGTTATTGTGTGGCTGAGCTAAAGTGGCTTGAAGTAAAAATGCAGTGAGCTGTAGGAGCCAAGGCTATAAATTGCCTGTGGGGTCCTAATCCAAGAGACCACTTGAACATATTTATAATCTGAAGCTAATTAATTTTGAAAGTACTGTTCGGCTTATGTGCATTTAAGTGTCTGGCATGTTCAGAGTTTTACCAAGATCTCTCTCGTAGGTGTCTCTCTTTAAGAGGGATCATTCCACTCCTTTGAGAAGACTTCAGAGAGAGAGAGAAACAAAGAAGAAACAAATAAAATTAATGTGAGTGTAGTTTGAAAGAATACATGGTGGTAAAACTGTCCTTTGTGGTCTTCTGCCTAAACTCCACTGTGCAGACTGTGGAGTGGATATAAAATGCTGTCATATCAGAATGTTGTTGCAGGTAGTTTGCTCTCAGAATAAGTTGATATGGATGTTTTAACATGGTTATTTATATCTTTACAAAACTGTGTTTTATTAAGGAAACTTAGTGAAGCTAAACCTTGCTAAATGTAAAACAGTTATTCTACATTCCCAGAAAAGTAACTTAAGACTGTGTGTAAACATAGTTCAGAAATTAACTTCAGTGAGAACTGTGAAGGCCTCCTCATGCTTTCTCTAAAATAATAATGCACATGCCACTTGAACAGACATTCCTGTTTAAACACAAAAGCATAGGAAACTGATAAAAACAGTGGCTGGTCTTCCTAGATTTGTCCTCCATAAAAAGATTTAAGGCTTTTCACTCCATTTTTAATTCCATGCTCTTTTTAAGTTATAATAATAATAAATCACTTTCTTAGCATAATAGTGTCATTTAAGACACATTCCTGAGGCTTTTGTGGGACTTTCCATCTGAAAGAAAAATATTTTCCTTTTTTTAAGACCAAGCTAACTATTATCCCTTAGGAGCAAGATCTTGGGGTTATAGGTGGTAGTTCCCTGAAAGCATTAGCTTATTGTTCAGTGGTCAGAAAGCAAATCAAATACTAGAAAGTATTAGGAAGTGAACAGAAATCCCACCATTAGAACCTCAGTATGCTACTGTGTGAAGCTGCGGCTTGCTGTCATCTTGAGTACTCTGTGCAGTTCTGGTCAAAAACATTTAGCAGAACTGGAAAGCATCAGAGAAGGGCAACAAGGGTCATCAAAGGCCTCAAACAGCTTCTGGGTGAAGAACTATTGAGCTAGCTGTCTTCAGCTGTCAGAAATGCCTGACATCTGGCTCAAAAAGGGTCTAGAGGGAGAAATTATAGAAATCTTCAAAATTATCTGTGGCGTGGAAGAGTGGCCAGGGTTGACTGTCCATTGTCTTTTCCACTACAAGATCTACAGGGCACTGTATGAAGTTGGTAGAAGGTTTCCATCTAAATACAAGAGGCAGCTGTTCACCCTGGAGGTTGGCAGACCCAAGGAACTCATCGCAAAGAAGGTTGTAGACACTAAAACTTGACACTCCCTTGCACTGTAGGGGTCAATGGCCACATACAGAGGAGATACTAGATATAGTACTAAGAAAGCTACTAGAAATACCAAAACTATTATCTGATTCAGGATGTCCTTATGCTGAAATTAGTTAGAAGCTAGGATACTACTATAGATATGTTTGTCCTGCTTTCATTCTTCCCCAGACATCGATACAAGACCACTGACAGATGAAGGATAATAGGCAAAAGGGACCTTTTGTGTGGTGCGGTGCCTCTAATACTAATTGTTTAGCATTATTTTATGTAATTAGTTGTTTAGTATTAATTTATATTATTACTTATATGCCTGTGGCCATTGCTGTACAATCATTAATACTAGGACTGTGGACCAGCAAATCATCATACAAATTTGGCTTGAATCAAGAATGTGCACATACTCATATTTCTATAAAGCTGGGCAGCATTTACGATAGACGTGGCATATAAGGACCTAATGAAGCAGTAACCTGGCTGTTTTCAGTGTTTCTGAGGACATTAAGAATAAAAGGACATTAAGGGAAGACACTTAAAAGAGATCAACAGGAAATAGTTATACATATGCTTGAGGCATGTCTTCTAAGAGCAGTAGCTTGGATGAAAGTGGTTGTTTGCAAACGGTAGGCAGAAGGCAAAAAATGTTGATGATATGGTCTGCTTAGAGGTGAGAGACTTTTCAGTTTTGGGTGGTACATAGGGTGGAAGTAGTCCCTGAAGGATCTTGGCAGCAGAAATTAAAGCGTAAGTGAGATGCTTGAGAAAATTTTGGAGCAGCTGGAGATGTAGAATGGGGACCCTCTTGGTCAGAAGTACAGGCTGGGAGGAACGATAGGGACCTCGAATGGTAAGAGCATTCTGAGCGCATCTGAGAATGGCAAGGTTAAACTTACCAAAGCCAGAGGAAAAGATGCTGCATTAACTGTGTGAGGTGTCAAGGGGAAGGATACAGACACCTGTGCCTACTGTGTCTGACAAAACTGACCATGGATGTAATTTAAATTAATACAGCTTTTGTCAGCAGAAGTCTCCCCTGCAGGTGCAGAAAAAGTTTTTCTCTTTTTTTTTTTTTTTTTCTTGGCTAATTCATTATAAGTGAAGAAACCAATTGGGACATGAAACAGCAGGAAGTTTTGTTTTCTAGGAATAAATGTTGGGTCTGAGATAGTAATTCTTAAATGTTGAAGGACTTAAGTCTTAACCGGAAACCAGCTATTCAAGTAACTGGAGTACTTTGAATGTTAGGCTATTTCGTGTAAACTACCCTCAAAAAATCTCTAAACTATATTTTATTTATGTTTTATTTATTTTAATCTTCTCAAAAGTGTTATTTTTTTAGCTTAATGAAAATGCTAATAAATAGGAATCTAAATAAATTTGAAATAGCATGTATTCCCTCTATATAGTGAAAAGGATGACAACTTGAATGTGAAGTACTTTTTTCCCATGCAAATCAGAGTATTTTAATGGCAAGAGTGGGAGTTGGCTACCGTTGG